CACACTCCCCGGCCCACGTCCATTCCAACCGGAGATCGGGGATGAGGAATGAAAACCAGCAGGTGTAGGGGATCAAACGCGCGTGTGTGTGAGACTGGGCATGCATTTACACACACATATGTGAGTGTGTGTATAAGCCCGTGTGTACTTACACATGTGAGTATCAGAGTGTGAACCTGTGTGCATTTACTCACGCACATGTGTGTGAGTGTGTGTATAACTGTGAGCTTTGTGCGTGCATTCACACACCTACATGTATACATGCTAGGTGAGTGCACACATGAGTGTGAGCCTTGCAAATGCGCATACACATGCATACACATATGTGAGCGTGTATGAGTGTGTGAGGGCCTGTGGGTACACTTATATGTGCACACACATTCATGAGTATGTGGGAGTCTGCGCACATTTACACACACATGTATAATGTGTGTGTGAGAGAGAGGTTGTGCACACACAGGCCAGCACAGATGGGGGTGACCTTTTGACAAACTTCAACTTAAAGACATTAAAGGCTTTGAGGAAGGCAAGGGGCAAGGGGAGGTACGTGGACGGGCGATTCGGGATGGGCAAGGGGACTCTGGGAACGTCCTCAGCCTCTGTTTGGATACGTAACGGTTTTTAAAGGAAAACAGGCGCAGGCGTCACTTCCAGGTCCAGATTTTCTTGGTGAAGTCTCTTCTTTGGCTTCGAACTAATCAACCAATGACAGTTATATTAAGCACAAAGCACAGGAATTTCAACGATCAATATTTCAGAGACAAATCTGCCATTTTTATTTCCATTCTGTTTTAATATTTTCTGAATAGAATTTAATGGATTTCTGGATTTAAAATGAAATGGAGAGAGAAAAAATATGACTAAGAGAATAAGCAGAGACTTTAGCATTAAAATGACAATTATAAATTAAAAGCCTTTTATTGTACTTACACAATTGGGAGAGCATTTATAACCACATGACACAGTGCTGAGAAATGATACATCATGATTAAACCTCTAACATTATAGCATATAGGTTGTATGATTCTTTAAGTTTTAAATACAACTTTGCATTGAGTGTTGTGGCTGCTTTTCTTTCTCTTGTGCTCCCTTACCTGATTCAGATGTGCTCAAAATTCTTTTGGTTCTCTTCTGCTAAAGTTCTTACTTCTTAGGAATCAGGCATATAGAGATAGGAACGGTGTTTACCCCAGATGTATTTATGGTTTAATCATCCTGATGGATTGAACACTAGTTCCCCAAAACGTGGTGCACGCTGCCACCTCGTGGTAAGAATGGGAACATGTGTGGATTAAAAAAAAAACCCCAAACCCCAAAGAAAGCAAAGATCACGGAAACGGCCCTCGTGTGTTACTCTGAATTTTGAGTGTTGCTTCCTTTTTATTGCAAGTAACTGACGCTGCCGTTTGATTGCAAGGAGGCCCTAACTTCGAGTTTCTCCCAGGTGACCTTAGGAAATAGGTGGCTGGTTTTTAGGGGGCCATCGCGTTTGATCCATGCGCACGGAATTTCGAAGTGGAATTAGTCTTCTGCCAAATGGCAGCCGCGCGCTTCCCCCGCAACGGGTAGAGAGCGGAGGCACGGGCCGCAGTGCCGCCTCCGAGGAGCCCTCGGCTGTGTCACGTGGCCCCGAAGGCGCCTTCTGCACCCAGAGTCACGCCAGTCAGGGGTCCCGCTCCCCGGGTCCCGGTGTGGAGCAGGCCGGGGTTACTGTCCTCTCAGTGATGTTTATCAGTGAAAACGATCTGGGAACACCGACTCCAAGTCTGAAATGCTAGGCCCTGTACGAGTTAAAAAATGGAAACTTTAAAATGTCGTGCCCGCAGCCTCAGAGAACTGGTGGGGAAGACGATAAGTGTCTACTGAGTGTTGAACGCTTTGCACAATTGTACTAGGATTGAAGGAAAAGATGCTTTTCTGTTGGATTGGAATATGGCAAAGCTGTGTCGGTAAGAGCGGTCTGATGCGATGGGACAGCGGAGTGCGGAAGGCGCGTTCCAGGCAGAGGGCACGGCGAGCGACCACCCCGCTGCCAGGAGTGTGTGCCGGGCGGGGCGTAGGAGGGCAGCCGTGGGACGGGGCACAGGGTGCCCACGTGCTCGAAGGGCCAATGAGAATACAGCTGGGTCAGGGAGCCGCAAGGGGTCCTTCTGGGTTTTTTACCACAAGATAGAAATGAGACTTTCATAACCCACTGCATGTCTGGATTCATAGACGATAAATACCCAGCCAGACCACACCAGGGAAGTCCGGGTGCCAATAGATCTTGTTTCTGGTGTCTGTGGAACAAAACTGGCTTCTGTTCAAGGAGTGTTAAGTTGCTCGGCATTTATTTCTTAGCCTGGGCAAGATTTGCTTGTTTGTTTTTCTTTGTTTTATTGTTGTTTGCGGAGCAGTTCTAAATATTATTAGCAAAGGGAAGGAGGAAAAGGTGAAATAGTTCCTGGAATGGTCGTAGTTTCCAAAACTGAGGAAGACCCCAGCGGACCAGCACACTTGCATGCCTGTTGGACGTAAAGAGGTGGGTCAGGATGTCATTTATTGACAGTCCCAGCTTACCTGTCGCATTCCCAGTCCAACTGCCACCGTTTAATAACTGACATGGGACGTTGGTCATGTATAAGACATTGTCACGACTGCAAAACAGCAGAATCAGGACCAAAATCACATTTGGAGAATTTGGAATTCAAATCTCAGTACCCTTACCAACATACTATTGTATTTTGCTCAACGATAGAATGGAAACTCATTTTTATATATATTAATTTTTATAAACCCATTCTATTTAATAATAATTTTAATAACTTTTCCAATTCATTCTAGAGGGTAAGTATTTATGCTCTTGTAAAGGTATTCTTTCCTTGGTGGATGACTTATACAATTTTTTACTAAAGCATTTTTCAGCCGCGCCAATCAATTTGCAGAAAACTTCTTGTACACATTTTGACAACAGTCATTATCCACTAAACAAACCATGTCAGTTCTGCAACAGCCAGTACGGTTGACTATAGAAATTCAAACTTCGTTTCTTAGGAAAAAAGCAGATTTTGGCAATAATATACTGGGTCATTAAATTTTACATTGTAAAAGGTTAACAAACCACTAGCTCAATAAAATGTTAAGCAAAAAACTTTTCCAAATGACTACTGAACATTTTCTACTCTTTAAGCCTTTTTTCTTTTTCAAAGTGACTGTTACATCTTTTTACTCTTTAATCAGGGACCTAAAGTCAAACTAGGTAGTGAGGAAGAAGAAACTTCGTTCTCCTGAGGAGAGGTGGGGGGCAGGGAGGTTCTGGGTCCACTTTGCTGGAGTTGACCAGATCTTTGCTTTACTGTTCGATTTTCAAGACTCAAGTGTTTGGGCTTTTTTTTTTCTTTTAAGAATTCCCCTAAGAGTGTTAAAATATACTAATTTGCATTACGCAAGGTACTTTTCCTGATAATTTTGATTTATTTAGTAAATAGAGTTGACCTGTGAACAATGCGGGGCGTGTCCCGCCCACCTTCCCCCAGCTTTCCCCTTGGCTGGGAGCCTTACCGACAACATAAACAGAGATGAACATGCATTTTTTTTTCTGTTATATGTATTATATACTCTATTCTTCCAATAAAGTAAGCTAGAGAAAAGAAAATGTTAAAAAATCATAAGGAAGAGAAAATATACTTACAGTATTTATTGAAAAAAAATTCATGTATACGTGAGCCCGTGCAGTTCAAAGGTCAATGCACATTTCAACATGGTAGCTTTCTTAAATATCTGCAATATATAGTTTGAAAGTGAAAAATTCACTGTCACATGACTGTAGTGTTTGGATTATATTGATCATTAATAAAGCTCTGCTGAATGACTGACCACCGTAAATTATGTGTTGTATCAAACATGTGTTGTATGTAGTATTTCTAGAATGCCTAGTCATAAGAGGGTCACAGGCTATTATTGAAAAAGATAAGCCCTAAGATTACATTGTACGAGATGTGTGGAGTGATCACAAAGGTGAAAACAAACCTTAAAGGTGAAGAGTTAGCTGTGAAGCGCCATCTCTGTGCTGGAATCCGTAATGAAGTTCTGCCGGAGAAACGGATTCTTCTTCACCTCCTGGTTCTCTGGTAACGAGAGGAATGCATTTTTCCTAGTATTGGTATCATAGCTGACATTTTCTTTCCTATATCAAGCCCTTCACTATTTATCATATTTATGTAGCCAAATTTCTCATGTTTATGTGCACCTTCTTGGAGTTACCACCAGCACCCTAACTGTGCATTGTAATTGGGGCATTGTAGAGCAAAGTTACAGCACTCGTGAAATTCATGCAGCGTAGACTCATGTCATATACATCTCTGTCTCTCTCTATCTGTGTATCTCTTTATCTGTGTTTGTATTTCTATCTGTCTGTATGTCTATCTCTGTCTGTGTATGTTGGAAGTCAACGGGGTAATACATCTTTTTCTTTTGTTGATCAGGATAAATTTTCTCCTGTTCTGAGTTTCCATATCACTCTTCACTTTTTCGTATGCTTAAATAGCATTACAGGGTTTTGTCTAAGACATCGTGTTTTCGGTTAGTATTTTGTAAACATACACTTTTCAAAATTATTTCCATATTTCAATTACATCCTTTTGCTCAGTACAGCTACGTTTATATAGAGAAATTGGGAAGCATAATGTCATGTATGAGGTAGGCACTTCCGGTTTACTAGATGGATGCACCAAGTTAAAAAAAAGAGAGAGAGAGAGAACCGTATGGCCAATGGACTTCATTTTCACAATGGGCATTCCCACACCCGTTTTATCAGCCAGACAGCTCTAGGGGAACGCCAGCTCTGCTCGTCACACAAGACATTTCTACCCCCGTGACACTTCCAAGAATGCAAGGTCAGGCCACGAAACTCAAGCCGACGGCCGGGCATCGCTGCGGCCTTCTGCTGGCGGAGGTGCGGGCCGACCGATCAGTGCTGAGCACTCGGTAGAGCCTCTGTGTCTCCCTCTCCTTGCTTTCAGCTCCCTGTGAAGGCAACACGTTCTTCTGCCACAGCAACATGTGCATCAACAGCACCCTGGTGTGCAATGGCCTCCAGAACTGTGTGTATCCGTGGGACGAAAACCACTGTAAAGGTAATGATTAGCCCTGGCCCTGTGCACAGCCCCCGCCGGCGGGGGGCGGTCAGTCCTGCCAGTGTGAGACGTCTCAGACAGTCTCACAAACAGTGCAGAATGGCTGTTAGGAACTTTGGGGGCTTTATAGGCAATTGGGAAGCCTTCCTCTTTGCCATTTTGGCTGCTGTCGCCAGAAGGTTCTCATGCCTCAATGCCCAGGGGACCCTCGGGAGCCCTTGCCGGTTCCCTTTGGTTCAGATCCAGTATGAACCATTTCGCAAAGGGAATGAACAAGCAGATCAATCGTGCTTCTGTGCTCCAAGTCCAGTATCACCTACAGAAATGGGTAGGAGCCCAAGCCAGCAGCCCACAGCAGCCGGGCACAGGGGGTCAGCGAGGAGGGCAGAGCCGGCATCACCACTGTAAGGTGGGGGTGACAATGACCAGTTTCTTGTCCCAGGTACCACTTTGGAATGGATGGGAGCTCGAATATTGTGGGAAAATTCAGACCATTTCCCTTGCCTTTGAGATTTCCATCAGCTTGAGCACCTCCCCACGCTGGTCCAATGTGGGGACAGGGCCGGTGACCACGTCTCCTGCTTATGAACAGGGCCCTCGGCCGGGGTGGTAACACCTGGGCTTCTCAACCGGCCTCTCCAGTCTGCCCTGGGGAGGGGCCGTGGGTCTGGTCTGGGAGCTGCCGGGAGAGGAGCCATGCGCTGTCCCGTCTCCCTGAGCAGCAGGGCTTTGCTCACGGTGTCCTGGGTGCTGTGGGACCTCAAAGCCGCAGGCTCTTGCTGACCTTAAGGGAAATGAGAGGTGTTTCTCAGTAAGTCTACCTCCGTGTACGGGACGTCATTGGGACAATTGCCCAGACTTCGCGTTGCTGGGGATTTTAAACATGGTTTTTACCAATTATGGTTGTTTCACTGGGGAGACGGCACGGGATGCCTTCGTGCTGCCCTTCCAGAAGTGTCTGTCTTGAAGTTCAAATACCGTTTGGGTTCAGGTTATTGTTGTTACTTTGACTTCAGTTCTCCATGTCAGAAATAAACTCACAAAAATATGGGTGCAGCCACGTTCCCAAGGGCTGAATTTGGAAGTTTCCTCATGCCTTTGAGAAAAATAATACTGCCTTTAAAACTAAGAGATCATGATCAAATGTCACTCATAAGCCTCATAAGATCTTATCCAAACAAGCATTTACGTTTAAAGCAGGGATGTTGGGCAACGGGAGGGCTGTGTCTGAGGCTGGAACAGAGGGTCCTTGTGAAAGTGAAAGATTATGTTTATTTATAAAGATCAGCTTATGCTGTTCTAAATTTCTTTTTTAACTTTTTTATTTAATTAATTGAGGGAGAGGTAGAAAGAGAGAGAGAGAATGAGAGAGGGGGATACATCGATCTGTTGTTCTACTTATTGGTGCATTCATTCTTGCATGTGCCCTGACGGGGGATTGAACCCTCAACCTTGATGTGTGGAGATGATGCTCTAACCAACTGAACTACCTGGCCAGGGCCCTTTAACTATTTTTAATTACAAAAAAAATTCTATGCTCAGCCTATTTCATCTTAAAGTTCTCCGTGCCCGCTCTGATTCCCGTATTAATGCGTGGTGGGTGTGTGTTGTTTTCTGTGTCGTTTTCCCTCTTCCCCACCCGTAGAAAAGACGAAAGCCAGCCTGCTGGACCAGCTGACCAACACCAGTGGGACTGTCATTGGCGTGACTTCCTGCATTGTCATCATCCTCATTATCATTTCTGTCATTGTGCAGATCAAACAGCCTCGTAAAAAATATGTGCACAGGAAAGCAGACTTTGACCAGACAGTTTTCCAGGAGGTGTTTGAGTCCCCTCATTACGAGCTGTGCTCTCTCAGAGGGGCGGGGGCCACGGCAGACTTTGCCGACGTGGCCGACGACTTCGACAACTACCATAAACTGCGGAGGTCTTCTTCCAAGTGCGTCCACGACCACCACTGTGGGTCCCAGCTGTCCAGCGCGAAAGGCAGCCGCAGCAACCTCAGCACAAGGGACGCGTCTGTCCTGACCGAGCTGCCCGCCCCGCCCGCCAAGCCCCTGGTCCCGCCCGCCGGCCGGAGAAATATCCTTGTCATGAAACACAACTACTCCCAGGACGCTGCCGACGCCTGTGACATCGACGAGATCGAGGAGGTGCCCACCACGAGTCACAGGCTGGCCCGCCATGAGAACGCCGTCCAGCGGTCAGTACCCTAGCTTTTTTGGTGACAGCTAGAAACTGAGGACCGAAACGCTGCCAGGATATTGAGGGGCTGCTTTGTCTTCATTTTTCAGTTTCTCTTTTGATTAATGATTTAAGCCAGTGTCTCCACTTTTTCCTCTTTTTTTTTTTTTTTTTTGCTTTTCGCTGTTAGCCATGCTGCCCCCAAAACCCCAGGTGTACATGAATATATGTGTAAGAACACACAGACCAAAGATATTTTATTTATCTCGACACATATACAACACTCATTTCTACAAGCTCTAGGCTGTCATCTGTATTACAGATTTACGTTGCTCATTTGCTTCCACGTGGTCACTAATGTCCCAATCGATATTTATATTTTTTAATATATGAAACGACATTTGGAAATAATTGCCTTACCAAGATGGTTAACTCATCTTGCTGAATAATTTTAATGTAGAAATAGCATATTTTACAATACAATGTATTATATTTTTGGGTATGAAAATGAAAATACTTTTTTCCACATCTTACATAATACATATATTACAAATTGCATAGGATAGCGTGGTATGCTAAAATACTCCAATATTTATATTTAAATGTAGCAAAGATTAGTAGAAACATTTGATTTTTCCTTTATTATAAGACAGTATGATCTGTATTATATCATTAGCTCTAAAATTAATAATGGTTTGGGGGAAAGGAAATCTAAATTTAGGGGAAAATTATCTTCAATCCCCAAATCCCATCTACTTATGTTTTGTTTTGCATGTTTACTAGTGTTTGGTCTGTTTTATAAATGTACATACTTTCTCAATTCCCGATACATTTTCAGAACCTTAACTATTTTAGTTGATTTAAGATTTTTGCATGCTGATGGCCAAGGTCTATTTTCATAGTTTTATGAAATTTTAGGAATGCTTTGAAGTAGGTATTTGTGTGCATATTTATTTTCCATGCAAACAGTACTTTGTTGAATGAAATAGACATAACATTCCAGGTTCTGCCTCATTGGGTCTCTAAGCAAACATGAATCTGAATACAACACCACTAGGGTCTAAAAAGGAAACGCAAGGTAAGCGAACACCCTTGGTTCGTTCTCCCGCTTTGTCGTATTCTGTTGTTTCTGTTTTGTTTTGTTGCGACTGTCTTGTAGAATTGTAGGGAATGGGCTATTTATTCATTATTTCTTGAGAAGTAGAATGGATTCAATGCTGATGGAAGGGTGGTTCTTAGTACATGTACCTTCAAAATAAATATTAACATTCTTACCATCAAGCATTGTACTGCAATGCTATTGGAAAGGATGTTTAAGATAAATTTTACATGTTACGAAGTTATGATACAAAAATTAGTGACCTCTTCTTAGAAATACCAGAAGAAACCTGAGGTTTTCCTAATTAAAAAATTGAGTCTTGTCTCAATAGAACTGAAGTCAGTCTATAAAATCGATAACAATTTTATTGATTTAATTTGGCAATATTTTACTCCAAAATCATACACTAAGAACTTGTACAACTCATACACTCGTATTTTTGCATGAATATATAGCTTATTTCATCAAAATTAAATGCAGCATGTTATGTTGAATGCTTGACAATGTAAAACATTCATCAGTACCAGCTGTCTACGTGTGCCTCTAATTCGTTGTTGAGGATCACAATGGCTTTGCTTTTGGCCCTTGATAGTCCATGTCTATATTAGACTAATTTGTCTCCAATGAAATTGATGGCTAATCTCTTAAGAACTCTTCAGACCTATCAACTCTTCTTGAATTTGGTGAATACATTTCCACGCTCTAGATTACCTTGATAAATTGGTGTATTTGTGTGTATTTTTCATTGGGAGAAAATGTCTTAACTGTGTTTTATTTTCAGAGAAGAACTATTTATACACACATGGGGACTGTGAAAAGAAAATTCTATAGTGAATTGTGAAAAGTGGACATATTTCTAAATCCATTCCACTGCCTTTATCCAAACTTAAGAATTACAGACATTTGTTATTTCTTCGGCAAGACATCCCTGCTGCACAATGATGTGTTCATTTCGTAATTTGGTTGCTGGCCACCAAGTGCTCCTTAGTATTTAAATACATTTTGAAATTTACTGGAAACTTGAAGAAGAAATTAGTTCCTGATTCAGACTATCCCAGCTTTATTTTGACTCTCACTTCCACTTCGTTTCTATGTTGTTCCACGTCTCTGTTATATAATTGTACATTGTGTGATGTGTGAAAAAAACACGATTTGGGATGAACTTTGTGTTACATGTGCATTGTTTTTATTGTATAGACTGCTTGAGAATAGTGCGTTCCTGAGGGATTTTGAACACGCTACAAGGAAAAGTGAAAATGCGGACCATGGCCACACCAGCCAGCGGTTTCGTGGACTGACTGTAACGTCTGTTGTATTACGATTCAATGCAGCCAAAAGTAACGAGTAAAATTCCTAGATGGCAATAAGAAAAATCTCATTTTTTGTCTTTTTTCTGGACCCCCAATTTCCTTTTTTTTTATATCAAAGGAAAATACCCAGTTTCAGAAATAGTTTTTGAAACCGTGTATTTTACCATTTATACCCTTCCGTAACGATGTGTTTTGAATTAAGCACGTAGCACTATGACCGCATTGACAGTTAGAGAAAATACCCTGCATGTCAGTTCTGGATATTTCGGTTGGAAACCCAGCCTCTCTCTTGGGCACCTTGTAAAAAGCATGCCCCCTCCAGCACTGCTGCCCCTCCCATTTCTTCCTGCCATCTGCTTGCTCCGTGTCACTTTTTATGTAAAGGTGTATAGAAATGTATAATAATTTCCTAACTTGAGTTAAGAGAAATGTTTTCTTCTATCAGAGTGATAAAAAAACGGATGCACACACTTTCTATCAACTCTTTCCACGTTTGAGGCCGCAGGGTGTCCTTTAGCGTGGAGGCTTGTGTCTCCAAAATTTTATGGGAATATGTTCATTTTAGAATAGGAAAGTCTTTTTTAAATGCTTTAAAAAACTACAGACCATTTTATGACCCAAATTATACCATTCTGAGTTGTTTTTATACTAAGGCACACCTATGATAAGATGTGTTTAAATGTAAATAAAGTAAAATCATATAATATATGCAATTGCTGTTGAGTTATATACACACTTTATAGAGGTTGATTTAGTGATTGGGTACTTTTTAAATACTGAATATATATTCTTAGAAAATAAATTTTAAAAACCAGAATCACTATAAATCTGCTTAAAAACACTTCCAAAGCTTCTGAATTCTACAGAATTCTGTTCTTCAAACAGCAAAGCAGTCTCTTCTATCGCCATTCAAACCTCGTAACTCAAGCAGACTGCACACTCAATAGATGAATTATTTGCATACATCCCTGTTAGAAATTCAGTTTTATATATGTCACAAAAACAAACACATGGGAAAGAAAATTTTTGTGATAGAAAAATTTAAAAATTATCATACCAATTCTGTAGAGTCCACATTGAAAAAATGCCAGTCTCCAGAAGTAGTCACCTTTGTGACTTTGATAGGCTGGAAAATGGAAAAAAAATATCAAGCATAATAATAAAGATATTTTTTATTTTGCTACATATTTTTATACACATTGCTTACGTTAAAATGTAGGCTTTTTGATCTTCTTGACTGATTTATTATCCCGGCTACTTCAATGCCCTTCAATTCAAAGTGCAAGCCGGTAGAGGTTATGTTTGGAAGTGAATAGCCATATTTTATATTGCTTTATTTAGGAATCTTCATAGGGCCCTTTGCACTCGCTCGGAACAAATAATCCCAGAAAAGTACGATGCACGTGCCAAGACCCTTGATAACAGCAGGAAGGCAGGGAAGCAGATCAGGCGAACCGTTGCAATCGCCTGTCCGGCAGCCGTCCCAGGGCCTCTGGCTTCTCCGGGTCTTCCTAAGTGCACAGGCTTCTTCTGCTTTGCTGGTTCAACGCTGAAAAGATGTTTCCACCGGAAATCTACCAATGGAGACTTGAGACAAACGAACGAACATCCAGCGACACTACCTAGAATGATAAAGACGGATTGCTTGCAGGTATTGAATACACGACAGGTCCGGGGGAAGACAAAACTATTTCCAACACAGAACAGGCCCCTGTAGGGCTCAGACTCAAACCTGTTTACCACTGAGCACCAACGAATCAGAAAAGACGACAGGGCCATGGGGAGGCAGGGTCGTGGAGGTGGTCTGCTGCCTGGCGTGGCTCTAGACGCTCGATCTTGGGGGGGTGGGAGAGGGGCGGTTCCTACAGAAGGCTCTTCAAAAGCCAGTACTGACCTGGATCCATATACTAAAGACTCCTGTTTCCTGACTCTCTCAGACCGTATCACCTGAATAGCAGCCTCTGGTTCATATCCGGTTGGGCAGACGCAGGTAGGTGAGGAAGGAGATCTTTCAGGCTTTTTGAGATGTTACCACGTGTTTCAAATCATGTTATTTTAAGAAATAATTATATTTTTGATAAAGTGATTTCCGATATTACTTATGCAAGTGCTTCATTAATTCCATGTTTTCAATCGTGTGATTATACCCTGTGTTAGTTCATTTGAAAACAGCCACTTTCATTGTCTCTCTCTACGTCTGAATTCACTTTCAAAATCTGGGAGGCATAGCATCACGTGCAATACCTGGGAGGCCCTCAGGTGAGCTTTTTCCTTCTAAATGCTTTTTAGTTGCTGATTCAGATGGGTGTGCTGACTTGGAAATAGGAATTTTCTGTACCTGATTTTATACACACGCTGTTTTATGCATCACACTGCAAAACAGACATGGAATGTTTGATTTGCCATAATTAACTTCCCTGTGGTTGGGTGATCACAATGTGGCTATGAACCTAACTGGAGGTCAGTGGCCTTGGACGTTTAAAGAACAGTCCACGTTGTGTAGATTCTGGCTTTTCTGTTTCACATTATTTTTTTTTCCACTAAAGTTATTTCAATGGGTCTGAGTCTGCAAACTGTTTTTCTTGGTGTTTAATAAAGTTAGGTCTTTGAGATTATCTAAATATTCACTTAAGCTATTGCATCGACTTTTCCTACATTTTTTCCCTTAGTAATTGGGGGTTTTCCTCAAATTGGAGAGCTTTAAAAAAAATGCCATGAATGGATTTTTCTTGACCTGAGGATATCATAATAAATTGCAAAATATGATACTGGTCTCTGTTATCTTTAGTAAAGTCATAGAATATAATTCATTTGATGTTTTGGTGATAATAGCATTTTGTCTTAATATGAAGTTTGTATGTTTCAGGGATTAAAGTTCTGTCAGAATCCACCTCTAAGGGGTAGGTTTAATAAACAAAATCTTTACATTGATCTGAACCCTAAATGTCTATGATTCTAAGTCATATGGGGGTCAGGCCGGGGAACAGGGCTGAGGCGGCCGGGGCGCCTCTGTGTCATGACTGGGGACGCCCCTTCCCTGTGCCCATTCCCAGCCGCCTCACGATGCGCAAGTCCCAGCCAAGGATGTGTTCAGTAGTCAAAGAAAATGAAAGAAGATGAATTAATTATCAATCTCTTATACACTTAATTACTGTTTCTCATGCCCCTTTGAAAGGCTGAATAAAGCAGCAAAATACAGTGTATTGTTAAAATAGCCAGAGACATGTGCTTTATTAAAAATCCTTTTCAGTAAATCCGAGGCCCTTTGTTAGTACAGAACTACCCTCGTTAATTTTATTAATGAACTGAAGTTGCATTATGGATTTCTTTCACCGAATAATGTTATTCGAATAAATCAAACAGGGTAATGAAAATAAACGCAGGTGACTGATGTCAGACACTCCTAACATCTCATTTTTTTATTGTAGCTTTAGTTCTTCCTTGTGTGTTATTAAAGAGGCAAATGACCTCTGAATATGTCTTTAATTCCTCAGAGGTGTGCATAATAGACCCAACCCGCTTCAGACTCCTGTCAGTTACAAGGGTGTTTTCCAGAAGGTTCTTATTGCTGTTGTGGCATGATGGTAGAGTTAAACCACTACTTTATGTCCAGGAATGGTAATTGCAGTCAACATGCTCTTGCTTAGTTTTGACTCTTACCGTCTCTCCCAACTCTGAGGCATGTTTTACGTTGGCTCATTCTTTGGAAAACTATTTGTTTTGCCCTCCTGTTAATAGTCACAGATATAGACACGAATGCAAAAGTGACCAGAAGATGTCATGTATGAATTGTGTAAAAGAAAACATTCTTATGGTATCACATTATGAAATTTGTATTCTTCATGCGCTTTCTCATGACTTCGGTTTAATATTAACATAGCCGACCTTCCTGAGCCTGCACTGTCTATGTACGAGGCTTCTTCTTAAGTGCTTTGGGGTTGAGGGAAAAAAGGTGGCAGTCGCGAGGAGGACGTGACAGTGGAGCCTGGCGGAGGAACGGTGCTCGGAAGAGCTCGAGAGGAGAGTGAAGCCCCAAATCACTGGCTACGTTCTCCATCTTGAAAAGCTCATTAATTTCTTCTAATTTTGTATGGAAGATAAAATATATTCAACTGTCAAGGGCATATAATACAGATGATGTTTTGTAACAGAGAAGTTAGTAGCATAAATGTGGGTATAAAAATATATGTGCAAGGGGCTCAAGAGAGGTTTAGCTGTATAGTCATCCGTCCAAGCAGGTCTCGAAGGCTGGAGACCACTGTTGGATGGTGCGCCAGGGAGAGACTTCCACCCGGAGAGGCTGGAGCAGGTGTAGCTTGGAGGGCCATGGGCTGGGGCAGAGGGGCAGGGGGCAGAGGGGCAGAGGAAAGAAGTGACAGTGAGTATAGTTGGAGGCAGGGTGGCATTGCCCGCCCTGAGCGCATGCCGTGCCATCCAAAGGAGTTCGCGTTGCATTCAGAGAATATTTTCATGCCTCTTAGCAAAGCATGTCTCAAAAATTGTATTTCCAACAGAATTCTTGGACAGCAGTGTGTTTGCTAAATTTAATGACATTGGAATAAGTGAAGAAAAACATTACAGAAAATAGATTA